TAATAGTTTTTATTTATTGATAAGTTGTCTCTTAAATAAATAGTTTTTATATATTATTGGTAAACTCATCAAGAATCTATTTGATAAGACCGATTCACGAGTTTTATAAATTTATATAATATTTTAAATTTGTTTGATAACGGTCTTTTGATTACGAGTTTATAATTTATTTTGTTATTTTATAATTTATTTTTTCAGACGTTACTTCAAATAACATTTTAATTTATAGTTTAGAATTTATTATTTTTCCTCTCTTTTTATATTTATTATTTAACAAAAATTCACTTTTATCTTATATAATTTATTTTAATTTAAAATAAAATAATTATATATTAAATATCTTTTAAATCATTTTACATTTATAAATTAATTAAACTATTAATTTTATCAAACATTTCAATTAATTTATTAGCTAACATTCTCAACTATCAGCTATAAGTTATAAGCTATCAGTCATCAACTATCAACTATAAATTATATACTATCAACTAACTTATCAATCAACAATTATTTTTACCAAAATAGACTCTAAGTTAACACAAACAAATATTCAATCTTATTCATTTTTTAATTTGTTATTCTATATATTAGTGTCAGAATTTTTTAATAAAGAGAACTATGGCTGTTGAAAAAAACAGCTTAAAAGACTGTCCAAATAATAATATAAAAAAAAAAGTTATAACGAGTTTAAATTTTACTATCAGAACATGAATGAGTTATTTTAATAATTCATAGGATTTTTAAGAGAACAATTTAAGATGTCACGAACAATTTCCAAATTATATTTTTAATGAATTTATTTGAAATACACCATGGTGTATAAATATTTTATATTGTTAATTAATTATAAATATTAATCTTTTTGAGATATTTAATTTTAAGTTTAATTTTTTTAAAATAATATATTTAAATGACTATAATAAATAAAATAATTTTTTATAACAATAATATATAGCAATTAAACTCATTCACAAAAGTGAAAACTCCACATTCACAATAAAAAATCATTTATACATTAATTCTTATGTATCTTTCTCTCTAATTTATACAAAAAACTGTTATATTTTTTTATTATCAAGTAGCCTAATAGTTAGAGTTCACTCTTTAGAGGTGAACGAGTATAATTTTGCAGATTCAAACTGTACCATTGTAATTGATGTCTTTGTAATTGTTGTATTATTTTAGGAATTTTACATTGCAGCTTTATATCTTCTTTAAAGTCAATGTGCGAAATTTCTAAAATGTTTACTGTTTTCGAAGATATATCTTCGAATACACCAATTCTTCATTTCATTTAAGGTTAATTCGAAAATGTATATGTGAAGAGATTTTAGGATATTTTCGCAGATACATCTTCTAATTAACTTTTTTCTTAATTTAAAAAATCATTTCGAAGATGTATCTCCGAACTAGGTTGAAGTATTTAGACGCGCGCCGGACTCTCCCTCTTTTCTTCTTCATTTTCAGAAAATAAACTTTGTCTCTCCCTCCCTCTATCCATTTTCAGACCTCACTCAATCTTAAGTTTTGAAGCAACTTCATATCCTTTACTTGTATCTTGTCATACCCAATTCCCTCTAACTACTACATTCAACACTTTACACCCTCATCCACACATTTTTGAGTAAATTTATCATTTAACTTATTTTGTGCTTTGATTAATGTATTAATTCAAATAGGTTACTTTTAATGTATTAGATAATATTAGCATTTGAAATAGATTATGTGTTGGATTTGTTTCTACCATTTAGGTGATTTGGATGAGTTTTGTATGGTTATGGCAAGGACAGAGATGTTTCTGCCATTGAAATGAAAAAATGAAGTTTTTTTTCCAGAAATGTATCTCTGAATTGTATTGTTTCTAGTGTTTGGAGTTACATCTCTGAATTCTTTCCTTCCTCATGCATTAATATCTTTTGTTATATTTTTTCAAAGATAATGACTGCAAATAACGACATGATGAGACTTAGTCGTCCCACCTTAACTGCGTATGCTTGTCGTGAGATGATTTGTTAGCATGAGTAGCCTAGAGTCATCCCTATGCCTCATGATATGGAAGCGTCAACTTCTAGGAGTCGACTATCATAGAGGTCGCCATCCTAGAGGCGTGCACACCCTGAGGAGGAGTTGTTCCTTAGTGTACTCTGAGGCTTCAGTCTTACAAGTCTTTGTGCTTCGGATTACAACAACATCAGTCATGGCATGCATACAATATTTACTAAGAGATGGCATAGAAAAATATCATATTTCTACCTCCCCATTGACGAGATGGCTATTATATTAGATGATGTTGCTTGCCTGCTACACCTTCCCATCAGAGGAAGGTTGCTTGATCATTTTAAGATCACCAGGACTGATGCCGTGGAGATGATGATGGATTATTTGGAAGCTGACCTTGAAGAAGCCTTTCAGCAGTGTAATAACAACAGAGGTGCACATGTCAAGTTTTCTTGGTTGGAGAAGTTGTATAACGACAACTTAGAGATAGTCGAAGACCCAGACGTATATGATCTACAAGTTAGTTACCATAGAGAGTGTGCATTGAGGTGTTTCTTCCTATTCTTGGTTGACACGTCTATGTTTGTGGACAAAATTGCAACCTATGTGGATGCGGCATAACTCAAGTATTTTATCAACTTGAAGGTCATTCATGAGTGGAACTGAGGACCGCGTGCTTGGTATACCTGTAATCCAAACTGAACGAAGATTCTCGTTAGATGAAAAAGAAAATGGCAGGCTCATGCACCCTACTTACTGTAATTTCTAAATCCCACAATTAAGTTAAAAACAACATTTTTTCACATTTGTTACTAATATTTTTTCTTATTCATTTCCAGGGATCCTTGCCCACTATCACCACATGCACGGGTTTGGGTATGACCCATCGTATACCGAGGATTACCCACGTGCTTGTATGTCTCTCCAGCATAGAGAGAATAATGTTTGGTATCGTTCCGTGTGTATATTGATCGGATTCAGCATAATGATGTCGTCTGTATTCCATACATTATGCATCGATATATAATTTTATTCAACCACATTTCATTATACTCTAAATGACTGTGGAAATAATATCATGTGCAAGTGTCTGTCAGAACGGTGCATGCATGGGTACATGCAATTTATTTCGAGGTCTCTCTTCCAGGCTGCTCTTGAGAGCATTGTCCGCAGAAGTTGGATGACATTTTGGAGGATTTTGAGAGTCGTCTGGTAAGAGGAATATCGTAGCCAGAAAACCACATATCAAAGGATTTATGTTCAGGGTTACATGGCTTGGTTCTATTATGTGTCACACCCTTAAATGACACCAGACGCTCCTGAACGTCCACCTAGACCTGCTTATGAGGAGATCATAGAGAATGAGCAGACCGTGAATGATCAATGTCGTTGGTGTCTTGCCGATTTGTCAAAATATTATGCAAATGATTAGAGATGACATCAAGTCTAAGTTGTTTGAGAGAGGTAGCGGTGAATCGGTTGACCTAACACGTTCCATTCTTACTGAGGCACATAATGCCTTGAATTATTGTAGGCACAAGAGGAGCCGATGTATTAGGATTAAGCATATTTAGTATAGTATGCTTTTGATTGTATTTGTATATTTTTCATCGACTTAGAACAATTTTGATAGTATTATAATTTTTCTTATTAATTAATACATTACTCGATTCTATAATATTCATTTTTATTAATCTTAGAAACAAATAACTACAATGTTAATCAATTTAAAATTATGTTAGATTGAAAAAACTAAAATCTGATTACACTCTTTCTGCAAAAGAAACATACAGGTTAAAATTCAGAGATGTATTTTCAAATTTACTCCACACCGAATTCGCAGATACATCTCCAAATTATTTTTTTAAGAAATGTGGTAGATGTTTAATTACCGAAAGAAGAAAGATGACTTCAAAGATGTATCAGCTAATTAACTTTAAATTTATTCCGAGATGCATCTCTAAATTATATTTTAGCAAAAAAAAATAATATTTGATGCATTCAAAAATATATCCCCAAAAAACTCAAGAATATTTTAAAAAATTTAGAAGTACATCCGGTTGTAAAGAGAAATTGCCATTATTTTGCCATTACATAGTTTCGCTCTTTCGGGTGCTTATTCTTGTTCTCATGATTGAAAATTCCGAGATTTGTATCTAGTGGTTTTTTTGGTTTTTTTTTCTCTTTTTAATATTTAAGTTCTAATTCAGAAGATATCATAGTTTTATTTTAAAGTTTAATGGTTATACATTTTACACGTCTTTTCAATAATCAATAATTTGTCAAATGCCATAAAAAAAATACAACATTTGCCGACGAAATAAACATTGGTGATTTACTGTAGTATAAAATTATTTTACAATGAAAGCACATACATGACTTCTTATTTTGTTCCTATGTATTTAATTATCATCACCATATTTTTCTTATGTTTCCTCACAAACTCACTACTGATTTAGCGTTCACTCAGTCTTTCTTGTGATCCAAGACAAAAAAACCACTGTAAATATAGAGAGATTGTAGCTTAAGATAGACGTGCATTGAGTTGAATTCCAACATCAGAACATACACAGGTTATATCTTTTATTGCTATTGCTAGGCTTATGCAAATCGAAACTTATTTTGAGACATTTTTTATATTGTAAAGCACTTAATTTGTAAGAGAAGAGTAGTGCAAACATAACAATATTAATTTCTTACATTTCAAGAAACAAAAAAAAAAAAGAGTATATCACTTTAGTACAACATCCACTGCCACTTTAATTATAGATCGATCGCCTAATTCAACTTATAACTTAGTTAAATACCAAATCAAAATGTCCTTTGGTACCAAGAATTGGTATTTCAAAGAATAAATATCTATTTCAAGCAACAACAAAAGTGATACACCATCTATGGCGAATATTTATAAATGAATTAAATTACCTTTATAGAAGAAAATGTTTTAGATGAAAAATGAAGCAGCAACTATCGGTGTGCTACTCGATTAATCAACTCGCAAATCAATGGAGTGATTTCAAGTGGAATATCTGACATTTTGGAACATATGAACTCTTTGTTGAAGCTTGCTCGAACTTCTTATTACCGGCTTCGTTCTCCTCTAAGTTATTTTGAAGGAAAAACTTGACCCACCAGGATCCACTCCTCATCTTGGCCTGAATCACACAGAATCAGTTAATTATTTGTTACTAATTTAAGGTCTAAACAGAGGATCAACGACAAAAGCACAGGTAACACAGGACTCACCGCTCTTCCAAATTTAGAAACATCTGCTACCTTGGCCTTTTGATTAGTTGGAATACCTTCATTTGTAAAGAAAATATATATATCATATGTCAGTAACAGGTTCAAAAAGAGTACCAGCATAAGCAGTATATGAAAAGCTTGAGCCCCAAATAACTCAACAAGTTTACAAAGTCAAACAGAATGATATCTGCATTAGCTCAAATACACTTTTTCAAACAGCATTTCTGCTTACAAAATTGTTAGGATTCCATTTTAAGCTTGTAAAGGTTTAATGCATAGTAAGTTGCAATATCAGTGCAATTCAATGTTTAACACATTTGGGAGTTTCACATTCATCATTGAAAGGAGTGACAATTCTCAATGGTTTTGAAAAAGTGGTTTAAGGTAAGTTTTCTTGAAAGGATAATCTAATATCCACTTTTCTTGAAAAGGTGAGTCAGTTTGATATCAACTATCCTTCTTGAAAAAAGCCACATCCGTCCTCAGAGAGTGGAGGCGTCGAAGTTCAAAAGAAGTAGGTGAATGTATATGATCACTTGTGTCTCTAGTGAGTGTCATTCCGTATAACGGTGAAGTATAACGGCTAATTGAGATACTCAGATTTGCAGGAATGCAGGATAATAAATTCCTATAACCTTCATTAACCAATTTGGTTTGTAACGATAATAAACACGAGTGATTTAAGGCAAGTTTCATGCTAAAGAAATCTCTTTGCACGAGAAAATAAAGTTTACTCAGAGGTGGGAATCAAAATTCCATAAAATGGTCTTACCCGTAAATATCACTAAACCATCAGATGATACCCTCGCCAAATCTGGAAGAGTTTTATTCAGGTATTTTGGGGATAGGTAATCCAGCGTATCTGAAACAATTACAAGAGAGAAAGATTTTGGCCTATATGGAAGAGGAAACTTGATATCAGCCACACGCACACTGCCTCTACGGATTAGTGTTTTGCAATTACTGTCGGTTTCCTCTACATCATATGGTTCTATACCCCAGGCTTCAGTTTCATCCTCCTTTTGCAATCTAGAGACCACATAGCAAGTATCAGGACCGACATGCAAAACTTTATGCATGCTATCTCCATATGCTTTCTGTAAAACAGGAATTGCTCGTTGGACCTCTCCACTGCACAAATAATCACCTGCACCTGCAAGTCATTTAAATTTATTACAAAATATAAGAAACCTACTTAAATGGCAACTAGATAATAGTTATTATTAATTGTTGATACATGTAATGATAGACATACTACTACCAAGTCATTGTGTTGGATCAAGGAGAATAGCAGAAAATACTTGTTTGGGAGTTCTATCATATAAGGCATTAACTTGTGATCCCCATCCCATTCCCTACCTGCTATCCATTTTTATGAATATTTAAAAGTCTCCTCTCCACCTCAACTTTGGAGGGTTTTAAACAACCAAACAAAGGGAAGGAAACCAAACCAATCATTATGTTCATTGCTCCCTTTTCAAAGACTCGAGAACGGGTTGTCAAATAAACGATTGTCTTTATTTGGGGTAACAATAACTGGGTACTTGTGGCCATAAAAGTTTCCAAGTACAATAGAACGAAGCTAAATATACAGATATCATATACACAAATTGGTTTAAGCGTCATACACAAATGGACCCGGAAAGACACAAGAATTGTTGTGCCTTATTCTGTTATATTTCCTAAGTTTTTTTTATCATTTCAAGTACCATAAACCACAAAACACCACATTTGACGCAGCAACCTCACTCACATGCAGATATCAGATGAAGTAGGCATCAAATTGTAAGTGACAAAGCTCCTTCTTATCTACCACTTCAAATTGAAAATTCATCAAAAGGACAACTAATTAACTAGGAAAATAAACTAACACTTGCAGTTTTCCTAATAGAGCATACTTAAAACTTACAACCAATCAAAAACAATATATTTCGCCACATAACTTTTTTTGTCTCTAGACGAAATGGTAATAATAACTAGAAACTCACACACAATCGCGATTACAGGGGTCGGAACCCTGGTAATGACGTTCAACCTAACAATATGGCGGCTTTTGCCACTTGAGCTAGGATCTGCCTAAATTTTGCAGCTTAACTATTTGCATACCAAATCAGACACAAATTCCAAACAACTAAAATCAAAATAAATAACATTATATACTAAATGAAAAACCACCAAAATAGAAATAATAATAACAAGAAAATTGAAGCTGAAACAAATCATGAAATGTACCTTCAACCCTGCTAACAGAATCTAAACGGCCACCAAGTCCACCTATAGACAAAAACTAAATCATAACAATCACATCACATAGAACAACACATTATAATAAAAATCAAACCAAAGCAAGAAACAATAACAAAAAACAAACCTGAACCCTTATAGAAGTACCCAATGATAAACAAAGCACCCTACATTGAAAAAACTAATCACAAATCACAACGCAAATCTAAATCAATTCACGAACCAACCACACGAAAAAACACTCACCACGACTATAAGCGCAATTGACAAAAGCGGTGACGATTTCGACTTTCCATCACCGAATCTTCGAGAAGAATTTCCCGGTCTTCTTGACATCATTATTATGCGAAATTGAATAATCTGAAAAATAAGAGATTGTGATGAATTTATTGAAGAGAGTGAAGATGAAAAGGCGTTGGGAATAGATCTGAGAAAAGAGGAATTACCGGTGAATAGTGTTAATGGAGTTGCATTATTATGAAAAGGTAGATCTGAATTAAAGGAGAGAATGAAAGAGAAAAAGAGAGAAAAGAGACACTGATCGATATGTAATGTGGAGGAAAATAGAAGAATGGATAGATTTTGATGCAGTAGTGTCGGTTGATATATTTCCAATTGTGTCCAAATCATGATGATTATTAGTGGGCCATATCTCACTATATGGGCTTCGGCTTCTTTTCGGCCCAACTCTAGTCAAATAAGATCTCTCAAACTTTTAAAAACTCGAGTTTATTTTAGTTAATAAAATACTTTCAAACTATTAAATGTAAATATATGTTATTTTAAAATACTCAATAATTAGAATTGTCTTAATCCGCTCCTACTTTCGGTATGCCCCAACAAGCGTTGATCTAATAATTATGGTTCTAGGTTTGACACATCTGGTCAACTATCATATGGGACTGCGAGAGCAACAACGGCAAAATCATGCACCTGTCCGTAACGGAAGCTTTCTCTCTGGTCTGCTCGCTACACGTCGAGCAGACAACCAGCCAAGCGCTCACAACGCGTATGCCCGCCATCTTATCCTTATTCGGAGCAATGACTAGATACGGGCACGACTGCTTGTAACACCTCAATTCTACCCGACAATTATTATAAAAATCAGAGTTATAAAATTTTGACAACCAAATCAGGATATTACAATTTCAACTTAAAATAACGTTTAACACAGATACATAACACTTTAAACTCAGATGAACCAACACCAACATGAATTTGTCTTTTAAAACCAACAACTTCCATAACTATGCAGCAGAATCATAATATTCAACTTAAAAGGATGTAATATCTTTATCCAACTAAAAAAACTTCAAATAACAAGTATTTAACGAAAATCAACTTAAAATTCAACAACTGAAGTAATAACAACGATAAAGCAACAAGCGTTCATCCCCCGAGTGTTACGTATCATAGCGACGACACCGACTCAAACTAATGAAGGTAAACAACCTTCATTTTGGATTACTTGCATGTTACCGACATAGGGGTAACATTCAAACATAAGGGGTGAGATATCAAACAATATAATAGAATGCACGATAAATAATATGTTGGAATCAGTTCATACAAAATCACCACTTAACAACTTTTTAACAATATTTAAAATAATCAATTCACCCATACAACAACTCAGAATGTAACATGAAATGCAACTTTATTTTTATGCACATGTGTTGTACTCCAAAATTTTCCCTCCCATTTTTACTCAAAACATATTCCTAGAGATCCTCAATTGCTCAAGTTGACTAAGGATTGACCAGACAAATCCCCCACCTAAGACAATGAGCCTCAAACTAGGGTTTCCATTTTCATCAAGATGTTTGAGTTCCAAGGGTCCTAAATGACTTCCATTGCCCTAATATGTTCTCAAGATCATCCATGCCAAGTTTCATGCCTTGCACAAGGAGTTTGCTCAGTCAACTGCTCAAATGCTTGAAAATCAACTATACTAGGTCAAAAGTCAATTGTGACCCACATACAGTCAAACTTCAAGATATTTGGTCAACATCAACATTTTGAAGTGATAATCATCATTTGATCAAGGGTTGATCATGATTCCTCAAGAAATTCCCTATTTCACCAAAACTCAAAAGTTGCTAAATTAGGATTTCTATAGGAAAAGTCAACCAAACTTTGACCAGGCATACCTTTCTCATACTTTATCAGAAATTTCTCATCCAAGGCTCATTTTGAAGAGAACTAAAGTCCCTACAACTCATCTTCAGCCCTCAAGTTCAAGAAATGCACTCATGAAGAGATATAAATTCAGACATTATAGGTCATTTCAAAAAGTCAACAAAAACACCTTTTAGGCCAAAGCTTCTTACATGAACGTGGAAGATCCAATTGAGATGAAACCAAAGAGGTTGCTTAGAGGACATCCTAAGATTTCTAAAAATTCTAAGAACACCCTCTTAGGGTCAAAATTAAGGGAGATATGCATTGTCAAAGTTGACCATTTTTGGAAATGTGCATAAAGTCAACATTGATCAAAATTGATTTTTTTTCCAAAGGGGCCCGTGTTTTCTTGTTTGAAACTTGTTCCTAAGAGGACCCACGACCCCTGAACTTATTCACTTATTATTTTATTATTTTTATCATTTGTTTTGATTTTTTATTCATTTAAATCAAAATAAATCAATTTAAATAATGGAATAATGAAATAAAATCTAAGATTTGATTTTATGAGCATATTATGAGTCCATGAACATCTAGCAAATCAGAAAATTCGTGCAAAAGCTCATTGATTGGAAAAGATCATGATTTGGCTTGTTTTAGAAACAAATAATGCAAGGAACAAAATCAAATCAAATCTCAATAATGTGTGAAGATACAGTCCAATTTTGTTAACCTAAATCAGTCTCTTATATGTCCATAATATTCCCAGAGCAAAAATAACAAGGATTGGTCGTGTAAACTGCAAGAATAAAAAACTCAATTTTTGGACAAAAAGTGAGGATCGAATTTCGTTATAGAGGGCGATCCAAAGTGTTTCAAGGCCAGCAATCCATTCCTGGAAATCTTCTGAAGCTAACGACATCACTTGCATGCATCAACACCTTCAGAAATCGCACCTTACAGCATCACGGTTTGTCACTTTTATCCAAACTCGAATTCATTGATTTACCCATCATAAACATGTTTTGATCATATATTCGTGTCTATCATCACGTTTGTAATGTTTCTGGATTGTTTAATCTGAGTTTAAGCGCAGGTATAAGTATTTACCATGGCCAGGGTTCGTAAGCTCTAATTTGGGGTTTCCTTCTCTAGGAAAAATTGGACCAAATTATGGGTACTAATGGACTTATGGCATGATTTCCAGTTAACATATGCCTTGAGATAGGATTTATTTTGCGTATATTGTGTTTTTGAAACTTGCAGGGATGTAGTTACGGAAAAAAACTGTCACTATAGCCTTTAGTGACAGTTTTGTCTGTAGGTAAAAGTCTAAAACCAAAACCAACAGTTCTGGGAAGAAGATGATCACGTGGCAGCCACACACTGGCTCATTTGAATTTGCCGTGTGTTTTTGGGTAAGGCACTTTGTTTCCATTATATTTTATTTGTTTTATTATATGCACAGATGGTCCAGCTAGCGCAGATGGTTGAGGAGCGTGCCTATGAAGCAAACGTCTTGGGTTCGATCCCAGGTGTGTGCTTCTATTATTTTTCCTAATAATTGCTTGCAGATTCCATGTTACTATCACAAGCGCGCTCAACATAGGCTTCCAATTCATCATCATTGGATCATATTGGCCCAGATCTAACGCTTCCAGGCTGCAGCTCATGATGGACATCCCTGGCATAATTACACCAAATCCAACGTCGTGTTAGGCCATTGAATTGGGCTTTTTTTGGACAGAATCCAGCTTGCAACCCTTCAATCTGGGTTGCACCCCCACCAGGCCCACTATTTCTTTTATTTGTTTTAATTATTTGTTTAATTATTTTTACAAAACAAAAATCATTTTTTATTAAATCAAAAAATCACAAAAACATTAAAATCAAATTTTTCATAAAATATTTTATTTCATTAATTAATTAGATTAATTTAACTAGGGCAATTTAAAAAAAAATCATAATTAAAATTAATTAGAAAATTAGGGTTAATTTGCAAATAGTTAAATTTCTCAATAAAAAAATAACAAAAATATTTTCTTTGATTTCCTTTGAATTTAATTTTTAATTCCTTGTATTTAATCTCCTCGCGCATTTATTTTATTTCCCGATTAATGCAATTGCTCCGAGTTTGTAATAATTTAACCTAGGTTCATTATTGTTTTCATTTACTGTTTTCCCCGGTTTTTGATCATGTAACCCCCTTCCTGAAGCCTTGTAATAGCGTATAGTTACTTTTCTGCTTTTAATTTTCTGCAACTATAATTGTCTAGATGTATAGATAATAGGCTTGCAGGCAAAAGATAAATCAAAGTAATACAGTAGAAAATCCTAATTGTGCAAAGATAAATAAACTGAAAAATAAACACTTGCACATGCTCACTCCTAGGGTTTGCCCCACTTCGGTTGCCTTCGGTAAATGATCATGAAGTATAGGGAGTCTTAGTGGTTGTCCTCTAGTCCCAAAAGATAAAAAATGACCCATTCGAATGTTGCGTCGGAAAGATCTTTAGGACTCTAGGGTAATTACTAAGGTTTCCAAACCATTGCTTTAGTGATCGTATTTGTCCCTTTCGTTCCTTCGATTGTCCCTTAAACTCCAATGATGGAGCTACCTACTCCTTAATAGTAGGATAGCACTGTCTAAAGGAAATAAGAAAAATGAATAAATTTTTTTCGAGTAGGTAGAAACTTTTAGGTACTTGCTCAAAAACAACAAATTTTTTACACCATACACTTTCAAACAAGCTTTTCCAACTAAAGTTTTCAAAAAACATTTTATCACATCCTTGAGGACTGATACAAGGGTTATCATAAAGTGAAACGCCGCACTAAGGCAATTTCAACACTTTTCAAACGCACAAACACACGAAAGCAATTATAGAAAATGAGCAAGTATCTAAGAGCCCATGGAAAACCATGGATAGAAAGGGTGCTAACACCTTCCCTTTCTATAATCTACCCCTCGTACTCAAAAACATCTCAAAAAAGGTTTTTTCTGTTCTTTTTCCTTTTCCTTTGTTGGATGAAATAAAATTCGTTGGCGACTCTTGCTTACCGCACATTTGCGAACAAAAAATGCAAACCAGTATTAACAGTCGGTTCTGCCACCGTATCACAGAACTAGCGACTCTGCTGGGGATTTCTTAATAAAGTGGGGTATACCTAAGGATCTAGGTCATTTGTAATTGCTTTCTTGTTTGCTTTTCCTGTTT